AACACCTCAGCCTTCCTGTTATTTAATTCCAGCTGAACTTGTTTCACATTAATCCATGCTATTTAAAAGTCTGAAGAACTCTCTATGGGACAGTTCTGTAAACAAAACAATGTACACTATTGAAACTTGGCATGTGCAGAAAAGAATATTAAAAGATTTTNTACGGATAATGCCACAATTTTTATAGGAATCATAACTATAGGAAACGGTTTTATAGGGGGATCTACTGTATATTTAATAAGACAGATGATTTTAAAAGGAGATTTATCAAAGCAAGTAAGACCTGAATCTGTGTTTTGAAGAAAAATTAATTTTTGACTTTTGTCTATTTAAATTTAATTTTAAATAAAAATTCTTGGATTCAGAATTATTATTTAAACATTTGAATTTACTATAAAAATATATAGGGAAAGAAGTATCAATATTAATATATAATGAGCTGAGATGAGAAGTGCAAATGATAAGAAATTTAAATATATTATTTCAAAGAATATTTTTGTAAAGTAATAAAAAAAATACTTAAAATAATAATAATAATATAATAATAATTCTTTTAAAATATTAAGTTACATACATCAGTATTATTACAAGAAGAGAGAGAAAAAGTAAGTAGAAATTTATTTAATAAAGAAAATTGGGAAGAGCAATCAATGTTTGAAGACTTATTTATGTAGATACATTATTAAAATATCTAGAAGAATGATGAATGAAACTATGAAGATTTTGATTGACATTAATTTGATCATTATCATCATCATCACAGTTAGTGCATTATGGCCATGGAAGATCATGTCGAGTGACAAGGCACAGTGAACATCTTTAATTGTTTTGTTTGAACAATGGTTTCCCCTCATGTTTTCCAGCATATTCCACTGAAGTTGTCCAAAGTTACAGTCTGATATAAATTCACAGACATTCTTTCTTGGGACATTCTTTCTGAAGAAGTTAATCCCAAGAGAACTGTGACATGTTCTGTGACAGCCCAGGGATAGAGAGATAATTGACATTTTTCTCATACCCCAACTGCAACAATGACAGTACCTTGAGTCAATCACTCTCTTGCAAGATGGAACACAAACACATCAGATGCTATGTTTAGCAGTTTCTTTGACATTTTACTCATAACAGAGTGATTAGTTGTGCAATTCCTAATGCCTCTCCAGATCTTAATCCATGTGATTTTTGGTTGGGGGACACTTAAAAAGTATGGTTTATTGATAACATATTGCAAATTTGGCAACCTAAAAAGATGGTATAACATTGCATATGAGAATCATCACAGAGCATCAATTACTATTAGTTCTTAAACACACTGTTCATTGCCTTTAGGATACACCCTCAAAATAGAGACTATATGAAACAGTAGTACTTATATCACCAATAGCATGAGTGTCTTGTACAAATAAAATGTTTCTTGCTTGCAGCACCAAAAGTGGCATAGTCATAAGTTTGGAATCTTTTCTTTTTTTTACAAGAATATCTGAATATTTTAAAATGCTACTATATCAGATTTGGTTGGATTTGGACTATTAAATGAGCTGCTCACTTGCCAAATCAATTAACTCCACAAAACAAAAAGTATAAAAATCGATAATGTAAATTATTTTTTAAAATTCCTTTTAAACTTTAAATTAAATAAACATTGTAGAATGTGTTTTTAATTAGTTACATGAAAAATGTAAAAATAATAACAATTATAATAAGGATTTACAAATGAAGTTAATCAATTTGGCTTGTGAAAGGGTCAAATATCTCTCTAGACAGTGTTGAATAGAGATACTTTAATNTGTAGAATGTGTTTTTAATTAGTTACATGAAAAATGTAAAAATAATAACAATTATAATAAGGATTTACAAATGAAGTTAATCAATTTGGCTTGTGAAAGGGTCAAATATCTCTCTAGACAGTGTTGAATAGAGATACTTTAATTACACTCACCTAATAGTTTATAGTAGGAAGCATCTACAGATAAAGTTAATAATGTCTTTCTATTGATATAAAACAATAACAAAAAGCTTTCCTTTTGGCAAAATCTTGTTTATTCATTATTTTATGATAAAATCCAATATGAAAGGATCTAATTGAATTTTACATTGCAAACATTTATAGACTCTTTCATCACGTATGTTAAACCAAGATTCTGAAGGAATAAGTTTTGAATAAAACCAAATCAGTTAATTAAGTTAAAAAATTAATAATAATAACAATAATATGATTTGATTGATTTAGAAATTATGATTTTAAACCCATTAATTTGAAATTACTTTGATATAAACATATTTTAACTACGTAAATGATCAAAATATGTTAATTTTATAGATCTCATTTAGATATACTATACATGTTTGATTTATTTTAATTATGAAAGATATATCTAATGTATTAAAATAAAAATTTTGTCCTAATGACTCCACCTGAGAAATGTAGATTACCATAATTTATGGCATATAAGACATTTCAGCATAAACTATTTATTACATTTAATTTAAGCCATATTTGGCACTTGGCCCAATTTTTTTACTGTATTCTGCTAAAAGAAAAATTAGAATGCATACTTTATTTAGCAAGAAAAAAGAGATTTAAAAGAAGTCATTTACTCTATATGAATACATGTAAAGGCTGCTTAGCTATAGCAAATAACAACACTAATAATATGTTTAATTAAGCAATAACATTTTAATTCAAGAGTTGGACTAGGTAGAGGTTACTTGTATCCTACTGAAGGCTATATTCATAAATATAGTGAAGTTAATTACCCTATGGGAGATTGCAACTTCATATATAAAGATACAGAGCAATATTTTCAATTGTTTTTTGGACAAAAGCCACATCTTAAGTTACATGCCATAAAATATGGTAAATATCTATGAATTAACAATCATTCAGTTTATCATGCTTACAGTTTTCCTATGTTTACAAAAGTAATAAATTAAAAATCTTCAAGGATCAATATGAAATAATAAAAGGTAATGTATATTTCTTAATTAAAAAGTACAATGCCAATTTCATGTTTTTAATTGTGTACTGTACATATATATACATACAGGGTCATTCATAAAATATGGGACATCTAGTTACTCCTTTTAGCTAGGTGATTGACTGCCTCATAGTTATGTTGAGAAGTCTTCCACAAACTAAACACATCTGTTGCAGGTAAGTGCATTGTTAAGGCACTTTCTATCAAAAAGTGAAAGTATTATTGTTAAAATAAATTAAACATTGAAAATAATGATAGTCAAAATAGAAAAAACAGATGTCTTGGTTAGTGTTTTCATTGATCCTTGCATATCAATAAGAAAAAGCCAAGGCATCAGGCTATTCTCAGTCATCAGTTCAGATAACTATGAAGAGGAACACGATCTGTCCTTATAGTATAAGGAGAGGCAGTTTTTATATAAAAATGATTCCTAAAACTGGGAATAGTTTTGCAGAAATTTATGAAGTCAAACTCCTAATTTAATGTCATGTGACCATCAATGATGCCACCTACCATTTTTTTAGAACTGAAACTGCCAGAACAGTCAGTAACGATCTGAACATTGGGTGTATGCAGATCATTGACAGCATGATCATCTGAATGTATGGTGCAGTATCTCTCAAAACAATAACAAAACCTAACTTCTTGCAAAGGCAATTAAACAGAGTAAAACATCTTCAGCATCTGAATGATGTGCTCCTGCCATTTCTGGATGATCTACCTTTATTAAAATAAAGTTTTACTTCCAGCAGAATGCCATTACATTTTGCAGTAATTGTCCATACGTGGCTAAATACTAACTTATTAAAAAGTGGACTGGATGAGTGGGACCATTTCTGTAGCATGCTCAATCTCTGGACCTCACTTGGACTTCTTTCTCTGGAGGGATCATTTAAAGGCAATTGTTTATGAGCTTCAAATGCGTACATTGCAAGAATTACAGAGTAATAAAGTGAAAGCATGTGAAAACATTTTGAACAACAATTTATAGCGTACTAGATGAATGGAGCACAAGAATTAACCATTTCATTATTGTATGGAGAGACTATTTTGGGTATCTTTAACTGTTACATCCTATTTTTTATTTTCATGTTTTTCTTTTACAGTTATACAAATTTTATGTACAATAAAATACTTCATAAATTCAATATTTTTGTTTCTATTTTCTACAACATAGACAGAGAGAAGCATAAATCAGTTCAAAATCATCAGATATACTTTGGTATTGCCAGTCAATATAGCATAAGATCTTTTTAAAATATTTAATTTCAGTATATTGGGTAAAAGAAATATTGGTAATGATATGCACACTTTATAGGCTTTATGATGGAGACTCAATTCATTTTAATGCACTGAAACCAAGAGGCAAGGCTACATTATAAGCGGTGTCTTTATTTTGTTATGCTATGGCAATGCAACATTTGAGCAATCTGCCTAGGGAGAATGCTTTTTGGGAGGTCTTTTTAAGGGTAAATGATCCCTATTCAGACATTACAGATGTGGAGAAAACCCAAAAAACTCCATGTGACCAGCCCGTCCTGGCAAGATGCGAACCCATAACCAAACTCCCAGTGTTCAGGGAGCACAACTGCTTGGCCCCTGGTGGGCCAATATAAGGGGTGGCATCCTGTATTTTGTGTATGACCCTGTATATATGTTATATAAAAACTTGAATAGATTCAGATAAAGGTATTTTGTCTACCATTGTATTTCATTATTTTATTTATTTATTATTTGACTATTTTTATTAAATCATAAAATTTCATTTAAAAGATAATAAAATTTCAGTTAAAAGATAATTTATATACTTATTAACCTACAGTAATTTTTCTCAAATGCTAAAACTTATTATTAATTAAGGTTATTTATTAAATTTATAGATATTTGGATGATCCAAGTTTTTAAATAAATACTAATTAAATCAATTTCTTATATATATATAGAAAATAAAGCAATAAGAGAAAAATAATATATAAATAATAACAAGCTACTAATTTATTTAAATATTATCTTAATTCTTACACAGCACAATGAAGAGGTGAGAAAGATTTTCCTCCAAATTTTTTCTCCTTATTATGGTCAAGTAATAATTCAACACACATGTCATGACCTATTAAGTAAAATACAGAATAATTTAAAATTATCAGAAAATTCAAAAAATTAGTTTATAAAAATAAGCAAAATTCAATTTGCTAACAATATGTTTTACTCACTATAATTTTATCTAAATTAGCTGTGTTATTTCTGCAAATCTATTATTATAAAAACTAAATATGCTGGGTAATAAAATAATTATGATTTTCTGCATCAATTAAAATTTTTCAGTGGCATACTATTATAATTTTATAAATCTGTATATTTCTATAGTAATACAAGCACAGTCAGTTCATATTATCTGAAATGTAATTCTAGTTAGTGTTATATTTCATTTAGGGAACATGCATGTTCCTATCTATAAAAACACCTAGTGTCAAACAGTAATCAATAGCATATTTGGGTTCCATTTTCCATGGCACTTATTTATTTATTTAGCATATGGCTACACATCTAATTGACAAAAAGAACAGAAAGCAGAAAAAGAAAGAACACAAATCATAAATGTAAGTCTAAGTTAGAAATATAGTTTAAAGCACTTTCAGTCACAATCAGGAAGTCACTCAGTTGTCCCGGAAAAGATCTTACTGGACAATCTTCCAAGATATGATGTATAGTCTGTTTTTCCACACCACAGTCACACTGTGGGGATGCAACTTTTCCCCACCTAAAAAGATTGTCCCTGCACAACCCATGTTTGGTCCGAATTCTATTTAACACACTCCACAGATTTCTGGATAATTCAAATCCAGGTGGTCGCTTTGTGATACAAGGAAGTTGTCGACTGTCCACCGGAGAGACATCAGCCCAGAGCCTTTTCCAAGATTCAGTGAGATTGAAATTATTGGAATGCAGGGATTTAGCTCTTATCAGAGGGGGAGTGTCTTGATTTAAGTCGATTTATGCTGAGGTCTTCAATATCCTGATGGATCGGGAGTTGTTGATTAGACAATATTTTCCCATATTCCCTAAGCAGAGTGCTGTCCCTTCAAAGTACAGATGGAGGGATATGGCTCAAAATAAGTAACCAGTGAATAGGAGTTGATTTAAGAGTACCTGTTATGATACGTAGAGTAGTATTTAGTTGGGCATCCAGTTTTTTAATGTGAGTACTGTTCATCCATATCAGTGCACAGTATTCCACTGCAGAGAAAACCAGGCCAAGAGCAGAGATCCGTAAAGTGGACGGCGAAGAACCCCATGTAGTTCCACATAGCCTTTGAAGGATGTTGTTTCTGGTATTAACCTTGGCAGCCAAATTCATCAGATGTGTTTTAAAAGATAAAGTTTTATCCAAAGTGACACCAAGATATTTCGGGTTCTTATTATGTTTATTATTAAATTATTGTCAAAATAAACCTTTAATTCTTCATTTGCCAGCTTGTTATTAAGGTGAAAGCATGTAGCTTCAGTTTTTGTCTTACTCAATTGAAGTCTCCACTGGCGAAAATATTGTCCTAAGATTGATAAGTCCTCTGTCAGGATCTTTTCAGTAATTGCAAGGTCTTTATGTCTCGTGGCAATCACCCAATCGTCTGCATATCCAAATTTCCTTGCCTTTGTTTGAGGCAAGTCAGCTATGTAAAGACTAAAAAGCAGTGGTGCCAGGACAGAGCCTTGAGGTAGGCCATTATTTAGTTTTCGTATGCTACTTCTCGAATTTCCCATGACAACTTGAAAGGGTCGGTTATTTAACATCTCATCAATTATTTTAACTATTTTTAAGCAGGGTATCACTCGAAGCAGCTTATAGATTAGGCCATGCCGCCAGACAGTATCATATGCTGCAGTGAGATCGATGTATACTGCAGATGTTTTTAATTGCCTTTGGTATCCAGCCTCCACAAAAGTAGTGAAGGCTAGTACCTGGTCTGAGCAGCTCCTATTCGGTCGAAAACCAGCCTGCTCTACCGGAATATTCTCAAAAATTGTATTGCTCAATCTGTTGTAAAGAAGTCTCTCTAATAGCTTATACATCACACTCAAGAGTGAGATAGGTCGATAGCTCTCTGGTCTATCGTTAGGTTTTCCAGGTTTCAGGATAGCTATGATTTTAGCTTGTTTCATAGCGAAAGGAATTTCACCTTTCTGTAAGATGTCAGTAAAGAAGCGAGCCAGCCATTGCTTAGTATACTTGCCGCTGTGTAACAGGAATTCAGGATGGACACCATCATTTCCAGGGGCTTTACCAGCTTTTATTTGTTTAAGGGCAGCATAGATTTCTTCAGTATCAAAAGGTAGAGAGTACGCTGTATCATTTAAACATTTAGCTTTAATGGACGTAAGTTCTTTTTTAATCTTAATTGTGAATTCACGATCTCTAGGAGCTCTAGATATGTTTAGTATATGTTCTGCAATACTATTTGGAGTAATCAAGATTTCTCTACCTGATTTGACAGTTGCTCCTCCCAATCTTCTAAGCAAGGACCATGCCTTCCTACTTGACTTTGTAAAATCCAAATTTTGTACAGTGTTTATCCATCTAAGGCGCCTGGCATCATCTAAGCTATGAAGTAGTTCATCCCCTAATTCAAGATCACCAGATTCCAGGAACTTCCTATATAGTGATTCACTTTTTTCACTCCATCCTGGGATATAAATCTTGCGATATCCTCTAGGTATACATTTCTTGGCTACGCTAAACAGTGCTCCAACAAACCTTTTATAATTGTTGGATGTAGGTGGGATCCATCCCAAACATTTGTCAAGATCTTCTGAGAACAAAGTCCAGTTAGCCTTGTTAAAATTCCATCTTGGGCGTGGTATACTATTTACTATAGGAATACTAAGTCCAATTCCAATAATTATTGGGCAGTGCTGGCTATGCGGGAACTGATTTAAAACTGTTCGTGTAGCTGATAACGGTTGTCTATTGTTATCTGAAGACACAAAGCACAAGTCAGGATTATATTCACAACCCCAAGCGCTGGACCTAAAGGTGCATCGATCTTTAGCATCAAACAGAAGATAAAGATTATTTTCCTCTGCCCATTTAAATACCATGTCACCATTTTTATCAGTGTCACGGTATTTCCAGCATTCATGGTGGCTGTTGAAGTCTCCCAAGTAGACAGCAGGATG